TTTTTTGTCATAAAATCTAACAAATATATAATGCTACCAATCATAGAACCACAATTTACTTTCATATTATATTATTGCACCAAAGCACATATGTGTATATAATGTATGATTATATTAATAGCCATATTTCAATAACAAATAGTTAAATTTAAATGTTTGCAGGACACAGTTCTACATAAAAGCTGCTTTATTATGATACGTAACACTATGCGGTTGTGTAGTGTGAATAAATGGAATGAAATAAAATTGGGACTAAAACAATGATATGTCAAAAATAAGTCATTCGTAAAATTATACTAATGTGACCTTAACACTGTAAATATATTGTTTTGCCAATCAGCAAAATTGTTTAGCCGTGGCCATAAAATATTGGTAAACTATATTACAAGAATAGCGTTCTAATATGCAAATGAATACAGAACGCACAAACAATATTTTGATTCCGATTCATTCATGACAACAAAAAGCTGCGAAACGGATAAATATGATACCCTATTCGTGCACGTGTGACATTGGATGCAATAATTCTCGTATAACCTGAATGTATATTGAAATTATTACACTCATGGGAGGTCCTCTATTTATTTCACATTTATATTTCACATTAAAATGCTTTGCATTTAATATATCACATGATGTTATTGAGCGGCTTGAAGAATTTATACGAAAATTACCAACAATTAAGAGAATTCCGTGTTTTTGTTTACCTAAATATGAAGATCAGGTAATTTTGGCGGTAATCAAACAAGTGGAAATAAGTTTAGTGATCACAATTATGCAATAACATAAGATATCTTTCTTGCAAAAATCGTAAGGAAATAGAAAGGCCTCCTATTATTGCCTCAAGGTACCTTACAAATACCATTGTTGAATATGCTGTAGACATACTGCACCCAATCCTAGATATTTGAAAATGAGATTCATATTGGCCAATGGAATAACATTTAAGAATTGTCAAATTGCGCACTTTGACTTTGTCACAGAAACTGGTTCTTTCATCAAAGTTGAGAATTAATCTTGCCATTAACAGCTGGTGTTAATCTGTGAATACCATCTTAAGAGCTGTTAATTTGTCCTTATGATTGCTCTGACAGGAGTTCATAAATAAGATATTGATATTGCCCCCTAGTTTCTTACTTCGACCAAGACAAATTTGAACATTTATAGAATAGGCTTTGCATCACGAATTCTCGTCATATTGCTTAGTGACCGTGACATATTATTAGTAATGATTTTATTGGTGTTGCAGAAGTATATTGAATATTTTTTATTGAAATTAATAATCCGTGGAACAATTTACAATACACTGCTACTTTCAATGCATAGCTTCAGCATGCAAATATATTCCAAGGTTTGTGTCTGAACCAAATCAGTGGGAGGTGTACTGCATATAATACAAAGTAGAGATACGATTTTACTATTCAGGTCATCAACAGGAAATTTTGAGCCTGTATTTCGAATAGTACTTAATATTTATGTTTACTACCTTATACTAAAATATGTTTGGATATTTAGAGTACTAACAAATGTTCAAATGATACAGGTATTGCTAAATCGCCAGCTGTGAACTTTATCAGGATTCCCATATGAAGTTACACATCATTCTAGCAAAGAATATAAGGATTACTTGTGTGCAGGTTATATAATAAAATAATTAATATTCCATTATTGTTAGTGTATTTTTAATTTTATTTATCAAAATATGTACACATTATATCTAATTGGGGTGGGAATTGCCAAGCCAGTTTATAAAATTATACACAAATATTTTCGTAAATAACACTGGCCGTGAAATACGCCCTTGAGAAGTGTTACTGACCGAATATTTTATATTGCAATTTCTTTCAATTTTAATTAGTTGTATTGCAATGCATTAGCAATAATGTAAATATTAGACCGTCGTGAGACAGGTTAGTTTTACTCTACTGATAAGTAATATATATATATATACATTTATTTATAATATATAACTATAATTTATATATACTGGAAACGGTTTATGGGGATTATTAATTTTAATAAACAATATGCAACTATCTTTTGTAACACCAATAAGATCATAATGACAATGTTTCTTAGTCTTTGACACTATGGGCATTATCAGAGCATGGGTTTTATTTTGGAACTCCTGGAATCATAAGGGCAAATTAATAGCTTCTAAGGATAGTATTTCCAGAATAGCGCAAGTTGTTGAAGAAATGTCATGAATTTGTTTTTGCA